TGCGTTGGTTATCAAGAGGTAACTGTCTGACTCGATTTTACAATCTATTTGACTCTGTAATAGGGTTCTTGGAAAACAAAGACAAAGATTTGCATGACAACCTCATCACTTCAAAGAATGATATTGCGTACTTGATAGACCTGTATAAACTATTTAATGATGTCAATCTCCAACTTCAAGGTGACAATTTCAATTTGATTCAATGCTTTTGTACAAAAATAATATTGGCGGACGTGAGTTTCGCAATTTCCCTAATTTGTCAGCAGTATCCTTCAACAACGACGACTTGCTTGTTTACTGCCAACATTTGGAGAACCTCCACAGTGATTTCGCAGTGATTTCGATTCCAGGACATTTTAAAATTGGAAATAATGGACTGGGTGTTGGATCCTTTTTCAAATATCAACACAGCAGGATCACCCCAGCTGGAAGAAGAACTCATAGAACTGATAACGACCTAGGAAATGAAAATAAAATTCGAAAATGGATACCAAGAATTTTTGCTACAAAAGCCCATCCCGCAATTGTACCCTGGTCCATCGCCCAATGATTTTTGATAGCTTTCCCATCATCGTATTTGTGTGAACGTGGATTTAGTGTTGTGGCAACGTTGCTAACTGAAAAGAGGAATCGGTTGCAGATTACTGAACGCGGTGACTTACGGCTGTTTTTGAGTAAATTCGAAAATCATCAAATTTGATAACATGAATAAAAGTTTTCCGAATATTACAAAATGGTGTTTTACGTTACTCTCATCAGAAAGTCTTATTCTCACATAACACACATAATTCAATTATCAAAATAATGACTGCGATTGTGATTCTTCAGATGTAGTATAGTAAAAAATTTGGGGGGTGCTAGAAAATAATTAATTCTCAAAGTGGGTGGTAGACAAAATGAGTTTGAAAACCTCTGCACTAATATTATTCACTCACATGAGTTTGATGTGAAATATTGTTATTTAATTTTTTCAATTTCAATAATGAAATATCTGATCTAATTATTTTTGCATATAATTCCCTGTACTCAAACGATTCGTACAAATATTTAATTGCGCAGAAAAAATGCTGCAATGAATTGACATTTGTTTGGATTGAAAGGGGTACTTTTTCGGGGGAGATTAATTCCTGGGAAATGGAGGTTTCGGCTTTCTACTTTTCCATCTTCATACAAAAAATCGTGGCGATCTTCCATTGAGAATAAGAAACCAAGTTATTTCAAAGTGAAATAAATTGTTTTTTTGTAAAGTGAAATGTAAGTGAAATTTCACCTCTTTCATATACTATTTCGTGTAGCAATCCTGTGAATGATTTCTGATTCAATATCATAACGAATGTTCAGAGTACAAACTGAATAAGTGTTTTTTGTATAATTCAATGTTCATTAAAGAACATATTTCCAAAGTATTTTTTCTGCAACTCAATGTTCATTAAAAAAAAAAGTCGTTTCGAGAGAACTTTTTCTTCCAATTACTGTTTGAAAGTTTTTTTCGTCCCTGACTTGTCCATTTAGTCCAAGTCTCCAGAAAACACTGCAGCCTCTTGGGCTTATTGCGTTTATCCTCGCATCTTCTCTTGACACCCATTCCATCAGTCTCGTTCCCTGTTCTGTAGTTTGTACAGGTTCCGTGTTGGATGTTCGTCATAATCTCCTGGACGTAATTTTGTACGTCCATATATTGCCTGCCTCCTGTGATTCAGTGACTCACATTCGCATAAGATGTATAGAGCTGTTTCTATCCCTCCGTTGCATAATCTGCAGCTGAGGTCTCCGTTGTACAGCCCCATTTTATTCAGGTGTTCTCTAAGCGGACAATGACCGGTTAGTAACCCTGTAATTATTCTGAGCCGATCTTTACTCTATTGAAGTAGTTCATTGGTTCTTTTCTCGGACGGTTCCCTAATGAAGGTTCTACTCTGTTTGTTGCCAGGTACTTTTATCCAGTACTCTGTGTGCTTCTTATTGCTCCATGTCCTAAACTGATTTCGTACCAATGATTTTGGTACCCCCCCAGAGCTGATTCAGGACCTATATATGAAGTTGATGATCCATGTCTAGCGCATTCATCAGCTTTATCATTACCTGTGATTCCTGAATGCCCTGGCAGCCAGTACAAAGTTAATTTGTTCCTGTCTGCAAGTTCATTCAGTTCTTCATGGCATTCCCAGACCAGTTTTGATGTCACCTTCGGGTTTGTCAGAGCCCCTAGTGCGCTCTTGCTGTCTGTAAAAATATTGATCCGCTCATTTCTTAGAGAACTCGATTTAATAAGCCTTGCACACTGCAAGATAGCATACACTTCCGCCTGAAAGACGGATGTGTATAGTCCTAGCGGAATACTGTAGTTTAGATTTCTATCCGCTCGGTATATTCCAGCTCACATTCCATGTTTGGGCTTCGATCCATCTGTATACCAGGTGTTTTTTCCAAACATGTTTTCGGGATGACTAATGGTCTTCCACTCTTCACGGCTTATGATTTTGGCCGTGAAGTTTGTGTTGAAGGTGTACTTCGGTCTCATGTGGTCCGTGCACACATTCAATATGTGCTCCTCCACATGTTCCGAAATTTCTGTTCGGTCCGATCTTTTGTAGTTCGGTGAGTTTTCCAGTCTGAATTGGCCCATCCTGGCCCCATTATCACAAAGTGTAAAGGAGGTAGATTCAGGAGTGTCTCCAATGCAGCTGTTGAGGTGGTTCTTATAGCTTCCGTCATTCCCAAACATGCAAGTCTTTGCACCTTGCCTAGTTTGTTGCTAGCGGTCGCCTGGTTCATCTTTGGCCACCAGACCAGAGATGCGTATGTTATCATGGGTTTAACCACCATCATGTATCACCAATATACCATGTCTGGTTTTAATCCTCATGTTTTTCCATAGGTGCGTCTGGCGAGCATCTCATGCTACCTCTGCTTTCATTTTTATCCTGTCCAAGTGTTGGTTCCAGGTCAGTTTGGAATCTAGAATTACTCCCAGGTATTTAACCTCCCCCAACACTTGTATTCCTTCACCCCGAAGTTTCAGAGGTCCGAGATCCTCCGTTTCAGTCCTCTTGGTGAATGCTGCTATGGTCGATTTGGATTGGCTTATGTTAAGCCCTTCTTCTTCGGTCCATCGTGTTATAATATTCAGGGCCTGCTGCATGTATCCCTTCACTACATTATTGTATTTACCCTGGACTAAGATGACTAAGTCGTCTGCATAGCCCAGTGATGTATACCCATTGTGGTTCAAGAGACATATTAGCTCGTCCATTACAAGGTTACTTAACAGAGGCGATAGAACCCTCCTGAGGACAGCCCCTTGCTGCCCGTGCCACGACTGTTTCCCCCATAATGGTTGTATATACCATTCTTCCCCTAAGCATCCCTCTTCTCCTCGACGCCTGGATGATTTATTCTAACGACTTATTGTCAAAAGCGCCCACAGTTTCCAAGAAAGCAGCTAAAAGTACTTCCTTGTTTTTGTAAGTATGTTCTATTTTTTCTGTTAACCTACATAGAGCCGTTTCTGTTGAAATACCTGACCTGTATGTCTGAAAGTTACTTCTTTGCATGGTCTACATATTTTTTTGAATAGTTTATTACGAAATTGATTGATTTCTTCGTTTCTTTGGAATAGTCTCATAATTCTTGTTTACTAAGATGGAGGGGTAGAAAGGCAAAACCTTCCTCAAACAATTCTGTTAATTTCGACCAGGCAACATGGAAAATATAAGTTTCAGGTATCTGAAAATAGTCATTCACATTGAGAAGTGGATGATATGATTTTTTTGTGAATACACGTTACAAAAATAGATCAGCTGATTCATATGAACCGAATATTGTTCAAACGATCATCATTTATAGAAAATGCAACAATGTTTCAGTTCGAACCTCTACTGAAAACAACTCATCCAGTTCCCACCAAGAATGACACAGTAATCAAAAGTGGAGTGCCAGTTGATTCCCTAGTCCTTTGAAGGAAACCAACTATCTGTTTATGATGGGTCAATGAATGCTTGCAGCAGCATATATTCGAAAATAATAAATCGACTTCACTGCAAAGAAAGGGTGAAAGTATCAGCAAACTTATTTCTCAACTCTTGAACCAGATTTGGAATGATTCACATAGATTTTCATTTTACATGGAATCCTTTAAAATAGTTCACGAAATAATAATCCGAAAGGTGAGGATGGAGAAGAGAATCTTCGAATAGTGAATAGTGAAATTGTACACGAGTAAATGTAACAACACATTCATCGATATCCTAAGCATTCAATACAGAAGTTGATCAGACGCCGACAAGGAGTATGAGTAAAAATCAGATACTTGTTAAGGATAAATTCAGATCAATTCCCCAAGCTGTTAACATTGTTGGAGACCCTCATGTTAAAGAGTCCCTGCAGATTGATCATTTCCCAATTGTTTCAGAATATGCAGAGGAAAATAAACAAGTTCACAAATTCAAAAAACCAACATCAATATACATGAGTCAGTTTCAAGAAATATAACTTCAAATTCCTCATTCCGTTGGTCCAATGATGGGAAGAATCATCGCATCCGTTATTACTGGAAAATAAACAGCGGTGACGAACATATCACCAACAGCTACAACACAATTAGATCAGTGAAGTGTACTATTTTGATTATGTTATGTATATATTTTTCAGTTATCATACATTGTTATGGAAATCTTGAATGTAATATTCAGGAAGTTTATGATGCCGGTCAACCTTATTATCCCTATTGAAGAACTGGATAACTGGGTTCATCGGCAATACCACATGAGTTGTTACCATCTCTCTCGATTCTGAAGTACCCGTTTTCTCCCCAGATTTTTCCCCATGAGTTTTTGACTCTCCAGAACTTGGTTTCACCAGACCACTGGGATGCCTTTCCGTAACCTACAACAAGTACAGCATGATCCAGTTCATGTGGACAGCTTTCTCCGCTGATTATTCCTGAATAATAAAGTTGTAATAGATCGGAATTTATGGCAACCGATATGGGACCGATGGTTCCTAAAATCAGAATATTTTGTTCAGAGGAAACCGTATCAGAAAATATCACAATCAGGACTTTGAATCATTTTCAATTCTTCTATGAAGATCTACTCACCAACGGCTTTTCTGAGTCCCTCTTCAGATGTGGTCACGTTTTTATACCCTTTGATTTTCGAAATTGTTCTGCTGGCATCGTACTGACACTCGATTTGTATGCCTCTGTATGAATAAGAGTCGTCTGCCTGTATTCCGTGGTCTATGACATATTCGAATGCGGATGACATTTCACCTCCATAATCACAGTCACCATTGCCATAAGAACCAGAACAATCGAGTAACTGCTGTTCACTCAAAGCGATCTTGACGTTGTTCAGAATTGCATTTTATCCCTCCAGAGCTCCGGTCTTGAAAAAAGAAAACATGAATTTCTTGATACCAAAAAAACAAAATTATGATGCACGTCAATCAGATGGCAATACCAAAAGAACAATGAAATTGATATTCGTTATGGGCTGTCTATCACTCGAATATTGACTTTCATTTCCATACGTTATAGGGTTGCCTGACTTTTTCGTAGAGCGAATTTTCGTGGAGCAATAAGTATAGAAAAATATCATACAGTGCATTTGAAAAAAATACGTAAATTCGTCATGAGCTGAATGAACGAAATCCATATAAATTCCAGATATTGGTCAATTCTCTATTTTTTCTGATGTTTTTCGAAATTATAGTGGGACATTCAGGATGGCCCACTTTCGAATAGTGACGTCATCACCGTTTCTAATGGAACCATTTTTTTACAGTATCGAAGTTGAGCAAACAGGCCATCGGATGCCTGCTTCCACGTAGCCCCGCTGGATACGGGAATGACAGAATCATTTGTGGTTCTGTTATTCCCCAACTGAATGGCATCCCAACGATGACTTAATTCTAAGGCGTGTGTATTCGTGCCGAGAGGATGAGTTACACTGAGCCTATCAGCTGTCTCTACGGAACTTGAGATACCGGGCGCCCTCTCGTCGTAGCATCGCCTTGTCACGATAATGCAGGGCTCTGCCGTGATTGACCTTCTTTCCCTAGCTACTCGTGAGACTTTTATAAACAGAGTAAACTTTTTTTTTGGTGCCTTGGGAGTTGTCTGACTTGTCCATTTAGTACAAGTCTCCAGAAAACACTGCAGCCTCTTGGGCTTATTGCGTTTATTCTCCCATCTTTTCATGACATCCATTCCATCAGTCTCGTTTCCTGTTTCGTGTTTCATGTTTCGTGTTGGATGTTCGTTATATTCTTCTGGACGTGAGTTTGTACGTCCATATATTGCCTGCCTCCTGTGATTCAGTGCCTCACATTCGCATAAGATGTGTAGAGCTGTTTCTCTCCCTTCGTTGCACAATCCGCAGCTGAGGTGTCCGTTATACAGCCCCATTTTATTCAGGTGTCCTCTAAGCAGACAATGACCGGTTAGTAACCCTGTAATTATTCGGAGTCGATCCCTATTATATTGAAGTAGTTCTTCAGTTCTTTTCTCGGACGGTTCCCTAATGAAGGTTCTACTGTGTTTGTTGCCAGGTACTTTTGTCCAGTACTCTGTGTGTTTCTTATTGGTCCATATCCTAATCTGGTTCCTTACCGATGATTTTGGTACCCCCAGAGCTGGTTCAGGACCTATATATGAAGTTGATGATCCGCGTCTAGCGCATTCATCAGCTTTATCATTACCTGTGATTCCTGAATGCCCTGGCACCCAGTACAGAGTTAATTTGTTCCTGTTTGCAAGTTCATTCAGTTCTTCAAGGCATTCCCAGACCAGTTTTGATGTCACCTTCGGGTTTGTCAGAGCCCCTAGTGCGCTCTTGCTGTCTGTAAAAATATTGATCCGCTCATTTCTTTAAGGTCTCAATTTCATAATCCTTGAACACTGCAGAGTAAACTTAAACATTCTTTCTGACGCTGAGTCTATAGAGTAGATGGATGTCGAGTTCACGACTTCAACTGACCTCCCTGTAAATTCAGTTCGGGAGAGAGTCTACAGAGAAGATATATGTCAAGTTCACGACTCCAACTGATCTTCCTGCAAATTAAGTTCAGGAGCGAATCTACAGAGAAGATCGATGTCGAGTAAACGACTCCAACTAACCTCCCTGTAAATTTAGTTCAGGAGCGAGAGCTTCTCAACTCCCCAACTCCTGATCCAATAACTGAATCTAAAAAAAAGGTTTGGTGGTGCAGCCAGAAAATGACTGAGTCTCCTCAAAAGCGGGGTAGCTTATAAAACCGCCTTGCACCAAATTTTTGAGCGGCGTACGCATAATCTGTCTCAGGTGGAGGAATGAACCCCCCATGAGCATGCGGGTTACGGTGGAGGGTCGAATATATCCACTCACTTTGGACCTAACCTAACCTAATACGGATTGTCAGCACCACGATTTTTTTTAGATCTAGCATCTGTTATATTTTTTCCAGTTAGCAGTTATACTAACTTTGTACATGAAAATATCAACAATGTTGGTCTCATCGCATTAAACTTCGGTACCACACTGTTGTTTGCCAGGTTATCTAATAACCTAAATTATATTTCTTTAATATCACAATGAAAATCATCCGTATGAGAATAATACGATATAATATAAAGAAGATAAGAGCTGGAACCTAGTTTGATCGATTGAAATGTTATCGAGTTCACAGACCTTTGCAACTATACAAATACTTACTGCACTGAAAGCCCAGCAAGAACCACATGGATTTTGATCTTTAACTTCCAAAACTGCTCCCTTCTCGGTCCAATCTATGGAATCTGGAACTTCCAGATCTTCTGGAAATACTGTAGGCGTGGCATTTAAACGCGGTTTGTTCTTGATTTGTCCCTTGAGGATGTCTTTGAACTCCTCATGGGTCAAATCAGCAAAACGAGTTACTCCCAAAAGGTAGGTCTCTTCTCCTTTGTCATACCTGGCGTTATGTTCTTTGATTTTTATCAGGTTCCTTTGGAATATTCCGAATCTAGTTCTTTCTTCTAATAAGCTTTTGTAAGTTTTTCCATGAGTTTGCTGTAAGATAATGTGAATCAAATCATAGAATTCGAAGCAAAATATTCTTTGAAAAATTGTGATTGCACATTAGAAGTGGTATCTATGAAAATGTATCACAGAAATTATTGCTTCGGTATTACCACAACCGAATATGGGATATACAGGGTGTAACTAAATAAGTGTGAAACATTCAAGGAGGTGATTCCTCATCGAAAAAAAGATAGGATCTTTCATATAAAGAAGCTTCATTGGAGCATCCCTTGTTAAGATACAGCCCCTTAAAGGG